CTTTTATTTCTTTTCGATGCTTCTTATTATATTGTTTTTGTGCTGTCTCTTGCAACGAATGTAGATCTTTTTCAGGGATATATTCCTCATTGTCTTGTTTATCAAGTTCATCTTCGTCATCGTCATCATCAACCTGAATATATTCTACTTGTCAATTTTGTCGTGAACGTTCTTGTGAATTCAGAGAACGCTCCAGCATTCTCGTTATTTGCCCGAACCCAGTGGACATTTGTTCTTGAATTGATGACATTCCCCGTTCAAGTCGTGAAATACGTTCTTAATGTACAAAAAAAATAGTAATTTTTAAATTAAGATTGCTATTTAATCAAAATTTTGAATGATCTGCCAAATTATCTGCCAAAACGTAAATTATACCTTCAGTATCCAGACTTGATGACCTATTTAATCGATTACGATTGTGTATTTGGTCGATGGATTCAGCTGAATTTAAGTGTGATAAAGAGTGAACTGTCTGAATGCCCTGTCCATCATAAGAAGCGTCGATGGATAAAAGAGAATGTAGTGTACGAGTACGACGCGTTAACAAACTTCTTTTTTTGGTCATTATCAGAAAAGAAATGAAGTAAAAGTTAGAAATGTGGAAAGAACGAACGTAAAATTGAAGAAATGTAAAGTAAAAAAAGAGTTGAGTAAAAAAAAAATTAGAAAGGAACAAAAATAAAATAATTTGAAAATTGTAAAGACGATTTTAATGTAAAGGAACAAAAATTGCAAAATCGACGTTTGTATTGTAAAAAAAAAAATCACTTTTTATATATTTATTCCAATTAAATATTTTTTTCGCGTAATTGTTTGAAATAATTAAATAATTTTTGAATTGTTCTATTTTGGTTATCGCTGATTTTGGAAAATAGTTAAATAGTTAAATGATTTGAATTGTTCTATTTTGGTTATCGCTAATTTTGGTATAATTAAGATTAATTTGGAATTTAATATATAAATTTAGTCAAACAAGGTTACGAGGAGTATACTGAAAGTTAAATTTATTGTTATCGCTGATATATTTAAGTATATAATTAAGAATAATTTGGCTATAAAAAGTTAAACAAAGAGTATACTGAAAGTTAAATTTTATTGTAGATCTGTTAAAATATAACATATTTACTTTCGATTATATATTGATCTACAATTGATGTATTGATGTTTGAAAAAAATATACAATTGATGTATTGAAGCTCGAAAAAAAATAAAAATGTATATACAATTGATGTATTGATGTTTGAAAAAAATAAAAATGTATTGTCTGATTATTTATTACAGCGAAATGCTGATATTTTGGTTAAATTCACATTTTGTAAAATTAAATCAAAATTTAAAAAAATGATGAATGTTAATGAAAGACGCGTTAAAATAAGAACTAAAGAAAAATGTTATTGTAATAACACAGGTCGAAAGATGCCAAATCAGTCACCAACCAGTTAACAATCGGATACCCAGTGTTGTACATGGGACATGTCCCGCCAAAATTTTAATGTTCCGGACATTGTCCCGTCCATGTCCCGTCCACATCCCGTCCAAAAATTGTCCAAGTTTACAATTTGTCTTATCAAGACAGCACCTAATGGGCTATAATTTATAATTAAGATCACGTGATTTTAATGTCCTAATATCCCGGACATTGCTAAAATCTTTGGACGTGTCCTGGACTGTCCCGTCTAAGGTTGCTTGTCTAAACCTCTTCAAAATCCTACGATTAGTTTCATCAAAATTTTACTATAGATTTATTATAGTTTCGGCAGAGTTTCGGCAGTTTCGGCATTTATAATAAGTTTCGGCAGTTTCGCTTTTCTCCAAAGTTTCGCCAGTTTTTTAATATAATTTTAATATAGTTTTGGCAGAATTTTGCTTTTCGGCGAAACGCCATCTTGCATAAACCTCTAGGTTTCGGCAAGCAACCTTAGTCCCATCCCGTCCTGTCCATGAACATGTCCCGTCCCTATGACAACACTGCGGATACCCGATTGATGCCTGGTTGGTAACTGATTTTTACAATTTGATACCAATTGGGCTGCCCGATTGATAGTTGATTTCCGCCAAAATCTGACAACAACCGGCTATCATCCGGGCTGCCCGATTGGTGACAAATTGAAAGTCAATTGATGGCCGAACGATGGTCAATTAATGGTCAATTGATAACCGATTGATGACTTATTGGATTTGCTTAATCCGACAGCAATCAGACAGTATCTGATTAATGACCGATTGGTAGCGTATTAATGACCGATTGATAATGTATTGATGACTGATTAATAGCTAATTTGTAATAGCCGATTGGTAAATGGACCAATAATCGGTTTTATCGGTTTTATAAAATGATTATGATGCACCTATTTTATTTATTATATATTTATTTACACATTATTAATTACAAATTATTAAAAACAATGGTTTTAATTCCAGCCTACATGCGCTTTATTAATTACAATTTACAATATATTCAAAAATTTGATTGTACAATCATAGTTGTAAATATAATTTATTTCAAATGGGAACTTATATCAATGTATACAATCATAATAAAAGTAATATGATTAAGCGAAAATTGGTACGTTTTTGTTTCTGATTGTTCTGATTGCTAAGAACAGGAACGAATTTAAAAATAAAGAATTAAAAATGTTATACATTAAACGAACAAACAAGTTATTAGAAATAAATGGAGATGAAATCTTGCTTACCAAACTCCTAACGAATGTCCATCAGAAATCGAGTTTTCTGATTACTGAAAGTAGGAACAGCTTAAAGACCATCATGTTAATCATCGAATGAAGATCAGTTTCACTCACCTCTAATGAAATTCGTCAAAATCGATAGATATACAATTCGTTTTTAAAAATGAAATAAAATATGGTTCATTTCTGATTTTTTGAGAAATCTTGCGAATTAGAATATGAATAAAGGCGTACATTAATCGATCAATCAACATGAGCAACTATTTAATAAAGAACCGCTGACAAATGCAATAATTAATTTTCGCTCCTCGGCACAGTACTTCTACATTTCGTCAGAAATCGAGTTATCCAATTGCTGAAAGTAGAAGCAATTTAGATCTGACCGAAAAGTTAATTATTGACACGTTAAATATCTCAAACGAATTGTGCTAAGAATGAACTCACCTTTAATAAAGTTTGTCAAAATCGATAAATACACAATTCGCTATTGATCGCAGAAAATATGTCGGTAGGGTGAGAATCGGCAGTGTTTTTGATTTTTCAAGAAATCTCGTATATTAGCTAATCCTACAAAATATGAGTAAGGCATACGTTAATCAATCAATCAACGCAACCATTAAATGGCACGATCATTACATCTTCACCGCTAACAAACTGAAGGCTTTTCGCTCCTTTTGTCTTTGAAGTATCCGTTACGAGATAGTATTCCCAACGTGTGATTTTACAAAAAATGTCCGACCTTGATGTGGAAGGTACTTAGGAACCACCTTGTCTCCCGATTAATGAGACCCTAGATCAGAGGAGGCTAGCCTATCAGGTACAAGCACCTTACAACTTCATCCCTAGGTAGTCAAAAATCTCAGGTGGTTCCAGACCACAGCGTACTATATGTAAAAATATGCATGAAAAAAAATACATAACTAGAATGTTATATCAAAAAAAAGTATACCTATTATTACTTACCATAATACCATTAGACCCATCAGTTAGGCTTGCCTCTAAATGAAGTTGATAAAAATAGGTATATATACATTTCATTTCTGATCGCTGAAAACGAATAAAGTTTATTTCGTTAGAAGTGAAGATCAGTACAAATATTCGCTTACCATTTTTAAAGTTATACTCAGTAAAATGAAAATCGAAAGAAATATGCATCGTCATTCTATATTTCACTTCGATTGAGTGTGAGGAGCAAAGAAGAATTAAATTCATCAAAAAATCAGCATGTTCTCGCACCTATAAAAACAGGAGGATATTTGAAACACAACTCAATGAAACCTGTTTTACAAAAAGGAAATAGTGAAGGTTAGCGATAAATAACAGATTCCGTATCTGTCTCCAGAATAAAATTGGAATATTCCCGTTCACGATTGTTGAATGTGAAAGTGCTTATTATTATTAATTTGTTATAAACTCGTACAGCTGAGTAACTGACATACCAGTATGTCAACCATTGTCAGTGAACAAGTCCAATAATTTCACACTATATATTATGGGCGTAGAAAGTAAACGGTGATATAATAAGCAAAAATAAACAAAAAATAGGCAACGCATTCGTAAGATGGTATAAGAAAAATTCGCAAATAGGCAAAACAGTAAAAAGAAGAAAAATTCGCAAATAGGCAAACGGCAAAAAGAAGAAAAATTCGCAAATAGGCAAAACGGTAAAAAAAAATATTTATTTCCTGTTGTAAACAAAATGTGCTTATTTTCATATTTATCGTAATCAAACAGAGATCTGACCAATCAGATTAAATTTCGATGATCCAGATCACTAATAAAATTGGACTATTTGCGTATTATAACAATATATTTGCAAATAGCGGCATATTTGAAGGAGCGTCTTGTAAATTTATGCTGATGAGGCAAAAGTTTATTTATAAATAATAGTCTAATGCGGCACTATGTGCCGCATTAGACTATTATATAGTTTAAATCATCCAACAATAATTCATGCAATTTTTAATGAGGATAACTGAATATTTATTATTTATTAAGCAAACAAAAAAATTTAAAAGAAAGAAATATGTATATATATATATATATACTGTATAACTGAAAAACAAATCTCTACATGAATTTACAAATTAAAAATATTTAAAAAACTAAAAGGAAACCCACTAAACATCAAAACAGAAAATTATTCAATAATGAATTTAATCTTGTGTCTTCCTGACTTTTCGCAAACTGCAAGTTTTGCATTAAGGTTATCCACCAACCGAAAGTCATTTGCAGTCCAGCTTAGGTCTAGCTTCGTGACATATACAGCGATTAATTTATTTGCTTTATAATTTTTACCTATATCTGTGTTCAGCCAGTTGTTATATAATTCAATAAACGTATTGGACACGAATACTTCCCCAATCGACATAATTCCTAGCCTAGAGTCATTGTTCATACTTCTTTTGAAGATACCCCATTCTGCATAAATAGAATCGGATTTATTTAATGGCATATTTTTGTTGAATCTACAACAATTGCAATGATAAAATTGTTGTTTTTATTTTTCGATATATAGGGTGTTTTCATACAAATTTAAATTATTTTGATATTCGTTGAGATTCTGTTCTTTCAATAACAGCGACTGTTGCCAGTCATTTAAATTTTTCTCTCTATGATCCATGATTAAGTTTACGCCATTTTTTCGAAATATTAGGAGCTTTTAAAGAAACTAATTATTGCAATTGGATACTGATTTATTAGTTAGCTCAACTCGTGAAATTTACAAAATTTAGCAATTACTCACGCTTTGCGTATTTATTTCAGAAACAAGTTTATATGTCGATTTCTAAATTAATGTCAAAATAATCTGGCTGGTAATCCGCAGCTAGATTAGCTTGATATATCGGTATGATTGTCAGTTGATGAAATAAAATAAAAAAATTAGGTATTGTGAAAATTGAACCAAAAAGGTTGTGGGTTGGGGGTTGTGGGTTATAGGTAGAAGGTCGTGCAGCACTACCACTATACTAGGCATTACCACACATTTAATATATCTTAGATATATTTTTTTGTGCATTTATAAATCTGTTAATGTTCCTTCAATCTGTTTGACGCAAAATCATTAAATTTACTGATATATTTATTTATATTTATTAAATTTACTGACATATTTCATTTATTTTGTAATTTACTAATCGCCTTGGCAACTGGATTTTTTAATGGCCCATCGTAGCCTGATTTCGTCCAACTAGGTGCGCTATTCGGCACCGTTTCTTCAACGTACTCACTAGGCTTGTACACCCGTTCACGCTTTTTGTCGCCTTTTGTTGTATTACTGTCAACATAGTACAAAAATCTGTGCAGCTTTGTTTTTAAAATGAATTAGCATATGCCAGTTATATGTAACCCATTTCAATAAATTCACTTACAGTACTGGAGCGCCATCGCAGGTTACGCACGATGATTATGTTTCACCCGTCCTCGCTTTCTGAAATTTCTGGACTATGATATCCGTTTTCTGTGATTATTGGCCGCAATTCTTCATTACTGAACTTTTGAATCAACGGATCATTAAGGTTTCTTAAATTGTTGATGGTCTTTGATCTTTTTTTTCTTTTCTATTTTATAAAAAACTCGTAAATAAATAATGATGATTAGGATGATTAGTAAAATATAACATTTATATTTACCTCCGATCGTCGTGAATTTTGGTGTTTCCGTCCTGTTTCTTTCTTTATATCATTTTCTGATTTATTTTTGACCTGAAGATTGTCCCTTTTGTGGCGGTGCCGCTGATGGATCATCTCGTATATGACACCTTCCCCTATGGGGTAGGTGTCAAGATCCAATGTTTTCATTAAATTTGGCACAATCGTTTTAACTACAAGATCCTTTTGAAGCTCGAACGTTTTTTCGATATCTAATTGAGTTTCCTGAGGCATTCTTGCCTGATTCCAGAATAGATCTCTCTAAAAATATATTATTATCAGTAAATTTATAAAAAATAAAAAATACAGCGAAAGTTTTGTTTACCCTTAATGCTTCTCTCAAATCTTTGGGCATTTCAGATACATGTTGGTATCATCGTTCTTTTGACCTTTTTCTTTTCTTGTCATCTCTTGGCATAGAATAAGAATCAAGAATTTGAGTGCCTTCCGGGTTTAATTCTATCAATTGTATATTGACCATTAAGCAGTGAATCAGAATGTTTAGAACACAATAAGCAGAATTATAAGACATACTAAATGTACCTAGTTCCGATTCCGATTTTGATTCTGATTCTGAACTAGATTCGTATAAGATTTCTGATTCTAGGCTGCTTTTTGTATAAATTTATAAATATATATCAATTTTTGATAAGTTAACTGACACGAAGGGTTACTTACTCTTCCTTACGAAGCTTTTTGTTTCCCATTTTGTAAACTCTATTGAAAGTTATGTTGAAAAAAAAGAGAAAGTTATGTATCGGTTAGCCTCCAAGGTTCTCTGATATAAAAAAGGTCCAGTTCTTTATCTATTAGGAAGCCTTGTTGGTAGAGGGCTCAAAAGCCTTTAGGCTTTTGACTTCGGTCGTTGCAGAAATCCAACGACAAGATTTTATAACTTTACTTACTATAAAGGACTGAAAGAACTGAAAATTTTGACCAAAAAAAAAAAGACTTTTATAATATGGTAAAAAAGAAAGACGTTTCGCTCTGCAATATAATTAATTCGCAAATGTATCGTTCTTAACCCACCACGCGGTGCTGACCCGCATAATATATTTTAATAAGGGGTCAAGATGATGTCACCAGAAGGGTCAAGTCCGATATTTTTGCAACTAAATCATTTGAGCAAATTACCAAAACGGACGGACCGCGTGATAATTTTCTAGTTTCGCTATAGTAAAACCCGATTAATATTAATTTTTCATTAATACCCCGTACAATTTCCTATCTTTACATGCCATTAAGCAATAATAGTCTATTCAGACCGGATTAATATATGAAATTGTACATATTAAAGGCTCTTTATTCGTCGATTTTGATATTCATAAATAGACTATAAGATACATACGTAGAAATTCTCAAATTTTTCATTGAACGCTTCGATCTTACTAAAACATAATCATGTCTACAAAACTTAGAAATAAAGTATCATGTGATTGAAAGGAATGCAATGGCAAATATGTTGATGAAAGAACCAGAAAAAGACATCTAGATTTAGAGCGTCATTTAGCGTTTAGCATTTCCGGATTTGTCCTTTTTTTATCTGAAAACAATCAGATTAAGCCAGCACATACCATCTATCATAGTCCGATCGTAGAAGGATCATCAAGATCAAAAGAAATGACCGGACAAGAAGAGTCAACATCATTTAATAATAATTATGAATCAGATTTTGCCGGATTTGTCCCTCAAAAAAGGCGTAGACAAGACCAGTTTCGGGAACCGGAAACCAATAAGGAAAGGAATGAACCGATTAATGAGTATGAATATGAAGGTAACATTTCTCCAGAAGACAATATGGATTTGGATGACGATCCTGTTGAACAATTTGCTGCGCCCAAAAATGATTCAGAATTTGCATATCCCGACACAAATGTTAATATTGTGGATTCTTGGATATTAACATGGATATTCAAATATCAAGCAAGATTTTGCTTGCCAGATGTTGCACTAGATTCTTTAATAAAGTTTTTTCATCAAGTATTAATGGATGCTAATCAGACGAGATTCAAAGATTTCCCGTCTTCTTTATACACTGCGACTAAGTTATTACGAATCGACAACCAATCTATGACTTACGCAGTATGTCCGAGCTGTAATACATTATATAATATAGCTGATGTTGTTGCGGATGAAGGATTTAAATGTACGCATATAGAATTTCCAATGAAACTGAAGGAAAAATTTTGCAGAATGGAATTAACTGTGCAGGTAATGGAAATAAAAGATGCCCCAAATTGTTATTTCCATTGCCGAATTTGAAAATACAGATAAACAATTTGTACCAGAGACCAGAATTCAAGCAACAACTACGAAAATAGACCAATCGGGATGTAAATAATGGTATATTAGCAGATATTTATGATGGTAAAATCTGGAAAACTTTTCCAGACACTTCAGACGTCCCATTTTTTACACCGGAGACTGCAGATTCCCACTTGGAAATTATGATTAATCTCGATTGGTTTCAGCCTTTCGAGTCATCTGTATACAGCTGTGGGGCTATTTATGGGGTTATTTGTAACTTACCGCGTAAAATTAGATTTAAAAAAGAAAATATGTTGACGCTTGGTCTACTACCAGGATCAAGTGAGATTAAGTTACACAAAATAAACCATTATCTCGCTCCAATTGTTGATGAGTTATTAGAGTTCTGGGATGGGATTGAGATTCCCGCCGCTGAAAAAAATATCCGATTGGCATTAATATGCTGTTCGAATGACATTCCTGCGGCGAGGAAGCTCTGCGGTCACATATCAGCATCAGTGAGCTGCCATAGGTGTTATAAAACTGCAAATTCAAATGGAAATGGAAATAAGTCAAATTTTGGCGGCTTTGATGATATGGTTGACTGGTTTGTAGAAAGAGATTTGGATGAACATCGATGGAATGCTGAGCTTTGGAGACTGTGTAAATCTGAGGAAGAAAGAAAACGTCATATGAGTTCAACCCATGTTAGATGGTCCGAACTGCTTTGATTGCCATATTTTAATCTGATAAGGTACCTTGTCGTAGATCCAATGCACTGTTTGTTCCTCAGAATAGCCTATTGGATAATTAAAAAATTATGGATCGATGGCAAAAAGATCACGAAACAAGATCTAGAAAAAATGGAAAAGCAAGCAAAATACATACAAATACCCGCGAATTTGGGGCGTATTCCAAATAAAATAGCAACTGGAGAAGGATTTTCCGGATTTACGGCTGACCAATGGAAAACGTTTGTTCTAATTTATGCTATCCCATTGATGTGGGATTTGCTCGCTGAATCAGATCGACAAATTTTGGGGAATTTTGTTAGAGCTTGTTCTCTGCTAGTTTATCGAATTATTGACTGTGACATATTGAACGAAGCTCACGAACGTTTGCTCAAAGTTGCAACTTGCAACGTTAATTGAAGAAAATTATGGTCTGGAAAGAATAACCCCAAACCTCCATTTGTGTCTTCATATTGCCGATTGTTGCCGGGATTATGGTCCATTATATTCTTTCTGGTGTTTTTCCTTTGAAAGAATGAACGGTATACTCGGTAGGTATTTTGTGAACTGTTTAATCGTTTAAGCTTGCTAATAATTTATTAAATAATATATCAATAGGCTCTTTTCCCAATAGTAATCAACAAATTGAACCAGAACTTTTACGAATTATAATGCGGAATTGGAGACTTGATAACCTTGTATCCGTTCAATCAAATAATGTTAAGCTTGTTGAAGCTTTAAAATTAATTCAACAACGATCAACTTCTGGAAGTTTGGCAGCTTACGATAATTTTAATTACACTGAGCTGTATCAATTTAGAAAGGTATTCTTCCAAGAAGTTGATGAAACGATTGTTGGTAGCGAACCATTTCCTGGAGAAATGCTTACGCCATGTAAAAATCGGGTTGCCTTGCCTGATGATATTTATCAAATCCTAACTGAATATTATAATATTGCTTACGACTTGCAATTTGTAACAATTGCTGAGTCAAAATCAACCAGTTCAAGAGATGCAATAGTTGTGCCAAATATGGTTGATCAATTTGGGCGGGTTAGGATCTCAGCAGAAGTATTTGGATCGGCAATGGCACTCCGATACCTGAAAAACGCGAATATTTTGGCGAAATTTATCCAAAACAATGAAACAACTGACTTATTTCCAGGTCAGGTAAAGTATTATTTTGAACATACTGTGAGAATTTCGGGTGAACTTAAAACACATTGATTAGTATTTGTTAAATGGTATAAACTGGCGTCAAACCAGAAAACCCGATTTTATACAAATATTGATGGTGATGAAAAAAGCTCAAATATTGAACTTTGGCGAAATGAATTTTATGAGATAGAGCGAGATTGTTTAATTCCAATTCATTACCTATATAGTCGCTTTGTATCTGGTGAATTTGTAATTGGCAAAAAGAATCCTATCACATATAATGCTGTAATCCCAATAAATAGGCAGTTTCATTTGTGAGAATTTTTACTGGTATAATAGAATTCTATTGTTTGGTGAAAATATAAATTTTAAATATGCAGATTTACTTTAACATTTAATGGAAGTGTACGATGTATTATATTTTTATTTTGAGTAATTAATTAGTTATACGACTATTTCAATTCAAGTAACTAAAATGATAGTTAAATAACCCTTCGACTGTTATTAATATACAAAAAAGATCAGAATATCAAGACTCGGGCTGGTCCAAAGGACTCACGGCATCCAAGTCAACCGGTCCAGAGAACTCACGATCATAGTCAAATATTCTGGAAAGTAATGCATACAGCAGGTACTGAACTCAGAAATATAATCCAGGTATTACATTCCCTAACCAATACGCCACTGCAGCATTAAAGTTACAATAAAAAAGTTACAATATAATTTATTTGATTGATTTTCTTATAAAGTAATCATGCATGAGTAATTAGTCTGTAAGCAGCAATAAAAATCGTGCCGATTATAAAAAAACTCATGATAAATAAGTTCATCAGCTTTCTGCCAGTCATCTCTTACGATTGAAAATTTTTTTGAAAGTGGATTGTAATTGTCAGTTTCTTTTTTACGGTTATCAATTTTCTTTTATATAAACTGATTCCGCTTTAATATAATAATAAACATTCTTAACAATTATCTTATATTCATACCGGTTTTTTCTTATAGTTATTGGTCTTTCGTATGAATATCACAATATTCAGTTTTTATTTCTGCATTTTTTTTTTTATCTCATTTTTTTGTAAATAGTCAAAGGTTATAAATTGATTTTTATTTTAATCCTAGGGGTTATAATGGGCCGAAAGCATAAACATAGTAGCCTTAAATACATTAGGCAAAACCTGATACGAAAGAATGAGAATTTAACGTGAGTAAATGACTCTTTACAAATAATGTCGAATCACGCAACGATCAGGGATATAGAATCTCAGAAAAAGGTTGTAGAATTAGAAAACTGTAATCGTGCGTTAACGGAAATCATGAGTATGCAGAAAGAAGCAAATGATTTTCTACAACAAAAGATCGATATATTAGAAACTCAACTATCACTACTTAATAATTCAGAAATGGGAACTTTATTAAATAATCAAGAAGTGAATTCGTTCAGCAGTGCTCTGATATTAGCATCCTCTGTCAAAATAAATAATATCAGAAGTGAGGAGGGTGAGGAGGATGAAGAGGGTAAAATTAAAATACGTGAAATATGCAAGTAAGTCTTATTTCGATATAATACTTGTCAAATAATAAATAATAGAAAAGTTTGTAAGTCAATGATATATCTTATTAAATAACATATAACATATACCGGTGTTGCTTAATTTCTGCAAATTTCGCGTATCATATTACATCATTACATCGTTACAGTCAAATAATAAATTATAGAAAAGTTTAAGTCAATGATATATCTTATTAAATAACATATAACATATATCGGTGTTGCTTAATTTCTGCAAATTTTGCGTATCATATTACATCGTTACATCGTTACAGTCAAATAATAAATTATAGAAAAGTTTAAGTCAATAATATATCTTATTAAATAACATATAACATATATCGGTGTTGCTTAATATTTGCAAATTTCGCGTATAATATTACATCATTACATCATTACAGTCTAATGATTAATTGTCAGATTTTAATTTATTAAATTTATTAATCATTTTAATTGTTAATTGTTAGAACAATTGAAAATTGTTAAAATTGTTAAAAATAATGAAAATAATCGATCTGAAAAAAAAATACTGATTTCTTTCTATACTGTGGATATTTTTATGTTTTTTAAAAAAATTTAAAAAAATTGAATTAAATATGTCCAATAAGAAAGATTTAGAGAAAGTAGACGAGCTATTGGGTAAGTTGATCGGCGGACAGCAAATATCAGGATATACTAAAAACTAATGATTATCTAAATTAATAGCTTTTACCCAACAAGCCAAATATTTTTTTGAAAAAATAGCAAATATTATACAAGGACAACAAGAACAGCAAAATAATGAACCCTACGGGGTGCCAGGTTCTTCACGGGCTGTTTCTTCACGGGCACACGTCAAATGATCAAAAATAGGCAAAAAAAATGGCGCAAATCGCATAAACTATTCGCAAATTTGTATAAACTATTTACAAATAGTATCGGTTAATTCGTAAATAGCCAAAAACAGCCAAGAATAGCCAAGAATAGCCAAGAATAGCCACTGCTTTTCGCGCCATTTTTTT